AACTGTCTGCAACTTCAGATCCAGGAGATCTAGTGTCTCCTTCCGGCCTCCAGGGGCATCAGGCACACACACGGTGCACAGATAAAACACTCATACACATAAAAATAAAAAGAAATTTTAAAAATAATATTATTTGAGGTTTATTTTAGATTTGTTCATCTGTTCTTTTCGTGAGGTGGACGACAGTCTTCCTCTTTAAAGGTCAGAGAGTACGGGAACCCCAAGCTCGGGGCGCTACAGTCCTGCCACATTCACGGAGCATGCAATCCTCAGAACTGTGTGAAACACTGAAGGATTCCAGGCTCTGAAGACTCCTCTGCTCTACTTCACGCAGCAACGCTCCAAGCGTCAGCTGCCAAACACTGACTGTATGTTAGAGACAGGAGTGGTTGTTGCTATGTCGAGATTATGCAAAGCTCCACGTTTCTTTTGCAATGTCCATGAACTCAGCGCTCTGGCATTATCTCCATAGGCGCTCAGTTAAGGTGATGATGGTTTACATATTCTTAGAAGGGGTGCAAGTCAACAATTGTTCAAAATTAGTTAGGTTAAGAATAGCAATAACTTGAAAATCAGGATGTATGGCAAGTGGTAAAAAAAAAAAGGAAAGAAAGAAAGAAAAACAAACTGCTTACAGATGCATCATCTAATCGGAAAATCTACACTTGGTGAGTGCACTGGTGTTAGTCAAAGACAAACGGACGGACATACCCATGTATGCAGATGTCGCTCAATCCAGGAATCTTAGAGGAGCACAGCAATGGAGAAAACCTGGATACACAAACCAGGGCAGCCAATCACCAAGGATTCAGGCAACACAGAGGCCAGGCCTTGTCAGCTTTATTGGTCTCACAATTCATTGACTCTCCGCCCCCACCCCGCCGCTGTAGCCATGGCAACACCCACACCAAGGCGTTCCAGAATTCACCTTTGGATAGCCAGGATCCACTGAGTGTGCACCTACGCAGCTCAAATAAAACCGAGATATCGCCACCCACTGAACTAAAACAACGTGACCTTTTCCCGTTTCCCAGACTTATAATTCAACTAGGGAATTTCATTTTTTTTTTTCATTCTTTCACCACAGAAAGAAAGCTAAGTCCTGAACTGCGGCTTCTTTGGATAATTAGATTCCTTTTTAGCGGAGTGGGCATCATCGAGGGATGAAAACCGGATGCACACACACGTAAACATTTGCCTAAAAAAGGCAAATAAACTGATAAGGTCAACATCTCATTCTCGTAGCATGCGTGTTGCGCAAACTGCCTTGCCCCTGCAGGACACTCGACAGCACGGCCGTTTGGGATACAGTTGCAATAAAACAAAACGCATTAGGAGCCCGCAGGATCGCGCACAGCGTGAGCAAAAATCGTGACGTATTCGGGCGAGCGTTCCAGAAGGACCCTCCGGCTCGAACAAGATGCCTAGACAGCGAGTCTCATTGTTGCTTGTAGAAACGGAACCGAATCGTGTCCCTGGATGCCCAGCTCAGGACCCAAACCAAGCGGCTTTATCAGGGCGATATCAAAAAACCCTCCTCAGGCGCCCTCCTTCCCCGGTAGCCAACTCTGCCCTGAGCGCCAGCCCGGAACCCTTAGCTTTCCCTCTCCAGACACATCCCTGGGACCTGTGCAGAAACAACCCACGGCCAAGAAAAAATAAAGGAGAAAACCCCCACCAAAACTTCTTCTGCGGAGCCGTTTTCGACTGGTCAAAACGCGGAAAAGCCGCTCTGAGAGCTGGCCTGCCCGCGCTGCCCCTAGTAAAGATGGCGGCCCTAGGCGGAGCCGCTCCCTCCGGAAATCCGCGGGTTGCCCCGCCAACCAGGGCCATTCACGCGGAGCCCTCCACGCCCGCCGTGGCTTGACGCATTGCAGGTGCGGAGCGGCCAATCAGGCAGCTTGACTCTTTCCGGCCAACCACTGCAGGGTCCCTCTGGCCAATCAGAGAGCCCTTGTCAGACTCAACGAGGAAAGAAACCTCAGCAGCGCCAACTAAGCAACCGGCTCCAGACGGCGTTTGGCAGCGTGTATTGCCGGAGCTCTGTGCTCCTCCGCGGAGAGATATAGTGCCCTCGCCCGCGCCCGGCCCCGCCCCGCCCGCCGCACATCAGGACTGGAGGCTTGGCGTGCTTCCTCTCCCTCCCCTCTAGGTGGGCTTTGGAACCCTCTGAAACGCCCCCAAAATAATATAGGTCCTGTGCCGTGTCCAGTGTCCCTTAAAGGGAAGATCTGGAGCGATCCTCGCTGGTTCCCTTGCTCGCAGGTGGCGCTTTTTGTTTGCTTGGTTTTTTTTTTTTTTTTTTTTTTTTTTTTTTTTTTTTTTTTTTTTTTTTTTTTTTTTTTTGCGGTTGCCAGGCGCGTTAGTGAAAACAGTTGCCATCAAAGAAGGAGAAACGCTCCTCACATGTAAAAACCTGGCCGGGGAGGAACTCTTGTGCTCAGGGTTCAGGAGCCCCCACCCTCAGAGAAGCACCCCCATGGGCACTTCTGTTTCTAGAAGGACCAGCGTCCCTCCCAAGGCAGGGCTTCCCCGAGGGTCTAGAGGTGAGGGTTTGATAAAAAATAAAAAATAAAAAAAATAAAAAAGGCGATGGTCAATTCTTTCACCATAGTCGGCCTAAGCACTGAATAAACTCTTGCCACGCCTTAACTCACAGTTTGAGAAACAGAGCTCAGATCAAGACCTAGCTGGGTTTCAAGTCCAGGTACAGCTAGCTCCCTTTCTAGAGCTGGACTAACAGCTGTGAGGTTGCACTGAGGAACTGTAACTTCACAGCCTAGGAATCAAGAGAAGCTGCAGGGAAGAAATGCTCCTTGGCTATAACCACGGCTGCAAGAATCCAGCTAAGAAAGCGAAATTTGTGGATTTCTTAAAACTGCCATTTAACCTCCAAACATCTCTGAGTTTGACACAAGAGGGTTTAGATGATCTGATTTTGCTGCACTATCATTCTTAAAAGAGTATGCAGCCCGGCAGTGGTGGCGCATTCCTTTAATCACAGCACTCAGGAGGCAGAGCCAGGCAGATCTCTGTGGGTTTTGAGGACAGCCTGGTCTGCCGAGCACGATCTAGGACAGGCACCAAAGCTACACAGAGAAACACTGTCTCGAAAAACGAGAGAGAGAGAGAGAGAGAGAGAGAGAGAGAGAGAGAGAGAGAGAGAAGAGAATGCTCTAATGAGTCTCTCTAACATTCCTTCAGCTATCTGCGTTGCCTTCATGTGAAACTTATTCTGTGCTCCAAAGCTGTAGTTGCCAATGGTTGATTGCTATTTCTTAAATTCAAAGTCATGTTCAGAGAGGCGAAAAGCTGTGACTTTTCTCTTTGAAGACCTTTAGTACCCTCTCCTAAAATGTTTACCAAGTGGGCAAGTGGGCAAATAACTAGGCACTAACGTGCGGCATTTCACCACAGAAATATCTGCCCATAGAAACGACACATGACATTTCTTTTGCGGTGTACCTGGAATAGGAAGTATCTACTGTGACTTGCATCAAGCCAGATCAAGATGTGAGAAAAGAGATCTGAGAGTGCTACACGAATTAGGAATTCTTGGGTAAGTTCCTCTATCCCGGGAACCTCTGCTCTCTCAATTGCGGAATGAGAAGAGCAGATTAGATGATTTCCAGATTGCCTCCCAGCTCTAATATTTGATTCTGCTGTGAAGAAATTGAACCACAACCCAATTGTGTCATATTTAGAACTCTGTTTACAGTACTTTCAACTTTTCAAAGTCGCTTTTAACTTTCTTTTCAAATTCAGTCTTCAAAGTATTTCTGAAGGGAGGGTCTGCATTTTCAAAGAAGTTAGATCGTCTATAAAGCCTGTCACTGGTTTATCTAAATATGAAATATGAAATATTCTTTATAGCATATTACTTCAATTCTAGGACATAGAAAAGTTGTTGGGCTTTGTCCCCAGGATCGGGTAATTAGCTCACTGAGTTGTGAGCTCCTTCGAGATAGGGCCTCTTCAATATGTGCTTATATTCTCTATACTTAGTAAATTTGCTTTTGCATTCTAACCTAGTGAAGGTCTTACTGAAGGAGTGAAGGAATGGTTTTAATCCATTCCAGGTCAGTGGTAGAAGAATCTAGAACTGATCTGATGAATTTAAAAAAAAAAATCAACTCATGGAACATCTGTGATGTAGAAGGTACAGTTTGTCTTCGTGCATTATCTCCGCTTTTGGTTTTTGATGTTATTTTGAGATAAGGTTTCTCTGTGTAGCCCTGGCTGCCCTGGATCTCCCTTTGTAGACCAGGCTGGCCTCAAACTCATCCCTCTGTAGACCAGGCTGGCCTCAAACTCAGAGATCTGCCTGCCTCTGCCTCTGCCTTTGCTTCTGCAGTGCTGGGATTAAAGGCGTGTGCCACCAATGCCCAGCTCACTTTTGATTTTTAATTAAGGAACAGCATGGAACAACCATAAATCTGAAATATCAGGGTTAATTTTTAAGCTCTCTTTTGTATGTATTACATTTTTTTAAAGAATACTAAGATTTAGAAGGAACTTATTTTTAAAAAAATCTGAGTCGCTCAAATCGTTAGCTTTACCACACTGTCTGGTCTTTTGGGAAGAGGGAATTGTCCCCCCACAGCTTTGGGTGGTCCTCTTTTCCTTTCCTTCTTTTTGGTAATTTGGAGGAATAGATAACAGGATCACTTATCAAGTAGACATGGCCTACTCTGGACTACTCAAGTGTGATTTGGCACAGTGGCACTCTATACTCTGAATGGCTAACATTTGGAAAAGGACAAAACTATTGAGTCAAAGCCAGCATGGCCTCACTCACATCTTTGTCTCCACGAGTCTCCTAACTCTTAGGAAACTCTGCACAAGTTCCTCACAAATTCCACAAGCAAAATATTTAGAATTATGAAATTTCGAATCCAGAAGGGATCAAAGAAAGCCTACCTGGCCTGACTTTCCCATTTTCCCGAGAAGAACACTAACTCCTGAGAAGTGAGAAGTAGGGCATGGAACAGGCTTTAGGATCACGTGACATTGCTCTTCCCTTTGACTTTCGACCTCTGAAAACATTGTAATCAAAGAGCAGTTGTAATAAGGAAAGCCGGGGTGTTATCATTCTCAGGGCCTCCCAGTGATTGTGGAAAATTCTAAGAAGACTTTGCTTTGGACTTTGTTATTTCACTTAACAACTGGCTGTGCATTCTCCCAGCTAGGCCTTATCTACACTGCTTGCTTAAAATCTTTGGCCTTTCATCTAAGTTGCTGACACTGTCTTTGTTAAGCTTTATATTTTCTTTGCTTCTGTCTTCTTCAGGGTGGCTCTATTTCCTTTCCTCAATCCCAGAAGTATACAGAGAAGCTTATTTTTTGAGCTGGGTGACAAAAGAATGTAGCTACCAATGACCAGTTGTATAAAATCCTGAAGTGACTTTTAGAGTATGGCGAAGTGCTAATAACTAACAATAATAAATGGTGCATGGTGATATGCACTCGTTTTCCCAGTGCTTGAAATACTGAGGCAGGTCGAGCAGTGGTGGCGCACGCCTTTAATCCCAGCCCTTGGGAGGCAGAGCCAGGAGGATCTCTGTGAGTTCGAGGCTAGCCTGGTCTACAGAGCAAGATCCAGGATAGGCACCAAAACTACACAGAGAACCCCTGTTTCAAAAAACCAAAAGAAAGAAAGAAGGAAGGAAGAAAGAGAAAAAGAAAGAAAGAGAGAAGGAGAGAAAGAAAGAAAGAAAGAAAGAGAGAGAGAGAGAGAGAGAGAGAGAAAGAAAGAAAGAAAGAAAGAAAGAAAGAAAGAAAGAAAGAAAGAAAGAAAGAAAAAAGCTGAGGCAGGAGGATAAGCTTGGGATCAGCCTTGGCTACATAAAGAGACTGGGAGCATGGAGTGGAAGAGGAGGAGGATGAAAAGGAAAAGAAGACAAAGAAAAGGGGCTGTGGGAGTGTAGCTCAGTTGATAGAGAGCTTGCCTAGCATGCATGAAAGCTCTTGGTTCAAACCCCAGCCCTGGATGAAAAAATGAAACATGGCAGTGCTCACCTGTAATCCCAGCACAGGAGGTATACACAGGAGGGTCAAAAGTTCATGGTTATAGTTTTGCTTTTCATTATGCAATTTCTAGCTGGTGTCTTAAATTTTTTTTCCCAGAGGTTCAAACAGGTATGACTGGACTGGTTTAGCATATTGTGCTCTTTCCAAGATCAAAGTGCTCATTTCGTGGCCTAGCAGCACCCCGACTCCCTAACTCAGCAAAGGTTTAGAAGGTAGGAATGGCTCGGCAGGAGCCTGTGGTCTTGCCATCCAGAACATTGCTTACAATGTGTATGCAGACCACAAAGTAGAGACACAGTGCTGAATACTTTTGTTCTCCCACCTTTCTTTAAAATTGGAACATTAGAAATGCCTCTATTAGAAGCACTCACTAGACCACTTACAATAGGTTTTCATGTTACAGGTCTGAATTGTTCCTAGGTTTCCAACTTGGTGTGAAATAGGTGCTACCCTGAAACCATGTGTGTGGCCAGCTAGAGCCAGAGCTGGAGGACATGAGACCATAAATCAGTTCTCTTGAGTCACAAATCTCTTGGGATTTGGAAGGCATTGATGACCCAGCAGCTTGCCTTAAGAGCGGTGGCATGGCCGGACTGTGGTGGTGGTGCACACCTTTAATCCCAGCCCTTGGGAGGCAGAGCCAGGCGGATCTCTGTGAGTTCCAGGCTAGCCTGGTCTACAGAGTGAGATCCAGGATAGGCTCCAAAACTACACAGAGAAACCCTGTCACAAACAAACAAACAAACAAACAAACAAACAAACAAACAGTGGTGGCATGGTGAGGA